ATAACGGCAGTTAATACAAATCCTATTTATCTGTGATCCTAGCCCAAGGCGTCACCCCAGAAAACGTCTTTACATTAGTGCCTTTGAAATACATTGGATAAAATAATACTTCCTCCAAAGAGTCATGAAGCCCCCTATCCTCACTTCATCCCTGGTTACCATCCGCCTTCTCTGACCGGTAGATGCCAGGAAGGAGCTCAGTCTCTACGAGTTGCACCGGCTTGATGCCACCAGTCACACAGGCAGAGACAACAAAGCCCTTTACTGCTGAGTGTTTTCCTCCCTGCTGACTTCCTCTTGTTCTTTCTTCTACTTCAAATTCCCAGGGGGGAAAAAAACTTAATAAGACACCGAAGCAAAGGTGATGGCAAGACAGTAATATTCAGATTTTATTTGTATGTGGATTTAAATATACTCATATATTTAAACATACCTACTTAACTACCAATAGGCAGGGATGGTAAGTACCTATAATTCAATCTTCTCAGATTTAAAATGCGTTGAGCTTAAAATTTAAGGACCTCAAAGTTCTAAACCAAACATAAAGACAGTATCAACATAAAAAGTATACACAGAGGCAATGAAACCAGCTCCTAATCATCTTTGTTGCCATCATTCAATGAGTTAAATATAAGAAAACACTCATGGCAAGTTTCCTTTTCTTTCTTATCACCCCGACTCTAACCAGAGTCTGAAACTGCACTTTTCAAATATGGACCTGGTGAAAATCAAGCAGAAACTCAAAGACGAGACAGAGCCCGTGGATGAAGGATAAAAATCTAAGTGTAGGAGAAGACCTGACACCTCCCAAAAGCACAGCTCATGTGATGACGGCGCCACAGGCCGTCTCGCAGGCCTGCCTGACCTTGAACTTTTGGAGAGACGTTAAAGAGAAGGCGAGAGTCAGAGCGACGGTGACCCAGGAAGGAACCCAGCCTCTAAGCACACGGCCCCGATCGGATGGAAAAGGACCCTTGAAGGAAATTGGATGAAGATGAAAGGATGGAAAAGAGCAAGGATATGAATGAACTGTACTGAAAGCACCATCCCGAGGGAAAACCCCAGCTTCAACAGCTTCCTGGACTGGGAGGGATTGTTGCAGAAGGATTTCACTGAACTCACCAAAAAAAAGGAAAAAACTATCCTGACATAAGAATTTTTAGCAAGGACACTTAAAAGTTTTAGAACCCAACAAACTTTGCATTTTATTTTACTCATGACTGTGGTTACAAAGACCATCTTTAAAAATAAACAAATTAAAATTTATTTTAACGAGTATCTTCAGAGATGCTACAGGCTGGGGGTTAAGAACACTAGTGCCGAGTTGCCTGGGTTGAAATTTCTGGCTATGTGATCTCAGGCAAGTTATTTACCCTCTCGTGCCTCAGTTTTCCCAATCTGATCAATGGAAGTATTAATGGTGCTTGCTTCCTAGGAGCATTGTGAGATTCAAATGAGTGTTTAAACCCAGTGAGTGATATCTAAGTGTTGACTTATATAATTAATTTATTTAACAAATATTTATTAACCTCCTACTAACGTAAAATATGGAACTGAAAGCTCTGTGATGAGGTATTGGGAGTCGGTGACAGAGAGGTGAATAAGCTACATTTCCCACCCCCGAAGGATGTAACAGGGAAGGGCTGACGGAATCAGCCCAAACATGCAAAGGCGCCCATGAAAAGGGAGCAGGTAGCAAATAATACTAGGAAATAATTACTAACTTTCTTAGGTGTGGGAATGGTAACGTAGATGCCAAGGAGAATGTCCTTACTCTCAGAAACGCTAACTGATTTATTTGGGGATGAAGGTCGTGACATCTGTAACTGACCCTCAAGTCAGTTTGCCAAAAACCAAACTATATATGTAAATACATACATATAAAGCAAACATGCCAAAATGTAAATCTCTGGAGGAAAAAAAATAGAAAGAAAAGGAGGTGGGCAGGGATCAAGGGCTGGCTGAGAATTCTGGAACGTAGTGTGGACTTGAACCACTTTCAAACTTGTTTCTACAGCGCGGCTGATATCAGCGGGCTCTCGGAGACACAGGCTTTTCTGTAAGTGCCAGGTGCCCTATAAATATTAGCCTCTACAACAAGCACCCGAAGAACAGGTCAGTGGGAGGGGCTGCTTTAAAAACGCTGGCTGCTAAGAGGCTTCGAAACATTGCAAGGACACCCTCAGAATTATAACTGAAGCGTCCTTCCCTGGTCAGTCTTCAGTAAAGGGACGCCTCCGAATGAAAGTCTTCATACAAAGACTTGCTGGGAAATCCATCTCCATCCTTCGCATTCCAGATGGTCACATTTTCTCGAGGCTTTGTCTAGACAACACGCAGGAACTGACAGGCTACTGGATAAAGGAGAAGGTCCCCAGACAGCTCCACTGATACCCAGGTTTAAATGACGATCTATAGACCAGCGTCTCTGTGCACAGACTTGGCCTAGACGTCCGCAGTCACTTCCAGACTCATAGCAACTGCCCAGCCGCTGTCTCCAATTGAACGTCACACTCAACAGGTCCAAAACAGAACCCTTCTCCTCCACATAGCTTTTTCTCCACGAATGGCACAACCAACCATAAAGTAACAGAAGCCCTGAGCTGGCTTTCCCTCACCCACCCCCAGCCATCCCCAGGTCCCTCCGTTTTCCCTCTCAAGTTCTCCCAAATCCAGCAGCTTCTCTCCTTTTCAAATTCTGCCTTCTCTCCCTAGCAGTCAATGTCTGTTTCCCAGACTTCTACCGCAGTCCCCCAGGCCTCCCTCCTTTTTCCCACTCTCGTCTCTCTCCCAACTACTTTCCACGTTGCTCCGGAATGAAGATTACAAATGCCTGTTTAAATGTATCAATGGTTTCATAATAATCAATACTAGGAAAACAATAATGATAAGGTGGCTAATATTCCCTGAGCACTTAGCCAGGCACCGTGCTAAGCACTTTATCTAAGCAGCTTCTCATTTCATTTAGCCGCATGGACCCTAGGAAGTGGCAGTTATCATCGCCCCAATTTTACCAGGTAAAAAACTGAGGCACAGAGAAGTGTGAACTCACTTGCCCATGGGACAGAGCTGGTAAGCGAGAGGCAGAACAGGCTCGGAACCCCAGCCTCTGCCCTCTCCGCGGCCCCCGGGATGAAGAGGACATGCCCCAACCCTGCCCACAAAGCCCAGTGAAGCCCTGAGGACTCAGCCCTGGCCGCCCGCCTTCTTCCCCGCTCCCTTTGCTCCTCGGTGACGCCCTCATCTTCGCCTTCCTCCTCCCTCTCCTCACTCAGGGTCTCTGTACATGGGCATCTCCCCCAGGTCCCCAAGGCTAAGCAGATCCTTGTCATACGTCTTCAAGGCACCTGTTCCTGCTTGTCACTGCAGACTTACTTGTGTCCGTATCACAGGAGGGGCCATCTCAGCTTTGCTGACCCTGCAGCCTCGCACCCAGCCCATGCTTGGCAAATCTTTATTAACTAGAAAAATGGAGTGTAAGTGAAAACAAAACTCCTGGGCTCTCGTTCAAGGGCCACCTTTTACCACCAGTGTGATTTTGTGTAAGTCGCGACCTCTCAGAGCCTCTGGGGCCACATTTAACTTTCTGGTAGCAATAAAAATCATGCTAATAAAGCACTCCGGAGTTTTCAAAGATCTTTCCCCAAACTCCCATTCGATCCCAGAATGGCCCTGCGAGGAACCCAGGGCACCATCACTCACATTCAGTAAAGGAAAAGGAGGACTAGGTTGGGGAAGGGAATTAATGATTCACCAACAGTCAATCAGCAGATGACCACGAAGCCTGCCCCTGACTGTAAGCACAGCCTAGACTCAAAGTTAGGTGGCAACTGACTAAGCCAGGGTGCGGCAAAGCTGCGAGAGACTGTCACGTGCTCTGTACGCAGAAAGTGATGGCTGTTGCTGGATCGATCATCCACCTGCCAGTGTTTCCAGTTTTCCCATTTGTTTCCCAAGCGAAGATCATCCAGCGCATATAACACCATCGTCATGGTAACCACGTGCCTCACAAGCACACCCAGCTGAGGGGATAACCACAGCCACAGCCACCCACTCCTGCCCCTCCCTGCCCAGGCGAGAAGCCAGGACACGGAAGCCACCTCTTTAGTCGCTGCTCAGGCTTCCAAATATGAGGACGAGGCACTGCCGACGGCAGCTTGGGTTACCTGGGAGGTCAGTGGCCTTTTACCATCACCCATCCCTGGTTGCCGCCAGCCTCTCAGCCGGGGAGGGGCAGTTTAGGTAATTCTGAGTACAGAGATGCTTCCTTCCGCACCCGACTGCACACTTCATCTCTGCAGAGGGTGTCATGCTACTCTGTGTGGTTGTCAGTGTCACTTCCGTGGATCAGGGGCACATGTGCTGGTTTTAATATCATATTATTCTTACAATATTAAAGGTTTAAAGTAATCTCTTCCACAACGTCCCTCCAAGAACAAATGGGAACAAAGCTTCCTCCAAATACAAAATTATTCTTTGAACGCCAGCTCCATAGCTGTGATTATCTGCCTGCTTCTTCAGATGAAACTATTTGAACAGTAAGACTTTTTTTAAAAATAAAAGTAGCTCTAAAGACGTAGCTTTCCAGGTGACTGGAAGTCTCAAAGATGTTATAAAAGTAATTTAAAAATAAAAGCAGGTGAATTTTATGTTGAAAAATTTTTTAATGTAAACTGGTATCAAAAACCAAATGCATAATTAAAAAAATAGGAATCCTAACAAGTGAAATTCACCATTAGAAAAAAATTCCATTTTATTACAGTTACTCGTTTTCAATATATAAGTGAAAATCACAGAAATTTCTGATTATGCCTAATAGACATAATTTCCAAGCTATTCTAGCACAGAGCTTAAAAAAGGACCATCTTATATTTGGTTTTATAAGTGGAACAAAATAAGAAGTTCTCTTGAGTTGAGTTTTTCAGATAATTGAAGTACAAAGCTCATCAAATTAGATTATGATTTAAAATGGAAGTTATTCCTGGGGTAATAATATTTACCTTCAGGACACTGGCAGGTGAATCCGCTGAGATTAGAAATGCACGTTGCTCCGTTTCTGCATGGGTCTAGGATACAGTAGTCAATCTTGGATTGGCAGAGCTCTCCAGTATAACCTGAATAAAACAAGGTAGACATTTATAAACTATTTCATTCCAAAAGTGTGATGAACCATCCCATAAATTGATGGAGCCAGCTGGTAGCCATCCAATAAAGCCAGCAGCCTTAAGCTAGTCTCTCAGATGCTCCTTGATCTAATTCGGTTTTGCAACCAGAAACAATCATACTCATTCAGAATCATAGTTCAAAAGTCATTTGCTCTGCAAAAATCTTCATTACAAAGAAAGACTATTTTTTCAGCACTAGCTCTGCCTTCTATTTTGGAAAATCAGAACCCTCAGAAGCTGGGACTGAACACCACCATCCCTCTTACAGTTTCCTTCTGACATAAGGAGAAACAGATTCTGCAAAGTCCCACTTGACCACCGAGATGATGGCACTTTCCCAAGGTCATCGCAGTACCTATTAAAAAAAAAATACTAGGAAAATTGCTAGGTAGGTATTATAATTTTTTAACTTATAATATTTGAGAGCTAGAAGGCACTTCTGTGTTCACCCCATGCCTTATCCCTTCATTTGAAAGATAAACAGACTGAGACACATATAATACCAAGCACGTTAATATATTCATTTTAATTCTAATTTGAAGCGCAAACCCAGCTCAGGAAATTGTCTCTGTGAAGCACGCCTCCAGTGGTGATTTCTCTGGGCAACAACATGGCCCCATATGCGTGAAGAGGAATTAAGGACTTGAATCTCTCAGAATGCCTGTGCAGCCAAGAAGCTTTAAATAAATTCCAAATATTTGGTTAGCTTTGAAAACAAAGCCCTCCAGAAAGGCAAGTTTAAGAAGCAGCACGCAATTATGGTTTTCACTTTAAAGTGGAAAATGATTATGAAAGAAAATTTGGAAAACACAGGACGTAAAACAGAAAGAGAAAAAAGTTGCCCTTAGTTATACTGAGTGACAGTATTATTAACACTTTGGAGATCAGTCCTATCAGAAATATTTATGCACAGATATTTCCTACAAAATTATAATCATACTGTAACATTTTATATCTTTCCAGGATGAACATAAAGTACATAAAAACTTGTCTTTCTGAATTACTAGTTTTGAAAGACTGTTATTAGCACTTGTATTTGAGATTTGCAAAAATAAATCGATGATGTTAGGAGAGAGATGATTTGCCTGAACTTCAATGACATGCCAAACCAGTCTAAGTTACAGACTGAATGGGAGGGCACTTGTCTGCAATCCCCATCTTCCTTACGTGCTTCAGAACAGTCCAGGGGACTCTACTGAATTCATGAGTGTGACCAGAAGAGAAAGATAATCGTGTAACCTAAAAATCCCAACACCGGGACAAAATACTATTTCAAAATTCAGAACAGAGTATCTTAATATGATAATATTATGTTAAGAACATATTTGTAAATAAAATCTCTAATTGCAGAATTAGTAACATTTTGTCCATGTAATTTCCTCCAGCCCCTTCATATTTTCCCTGGGATGGTATCAAAAAGCAAAATTTCATTTCACCTGTAAAGACCTCATTATATATTCCTAACTAAAGAAGATTTTT